AAGGAGAGGATTAGGGTGAAAGAGAAAAATAAAGTATCTGTGGGCAAGGCGACCCCTCAGCCTTATCTCTCGCCTGCCCAGAAGTGATAAGTAAGCAGTCGTCACATACTTAACACATGTTGAAACTCGATGACTACTACGCATTTCGTGCAGAAGCGAATCAAGTGCAAGGTTACGATTCTGTCACCGTTGCTGCCTGTCCCCCTAAATACTTATCTTTATTTATCTTTATCTTCATCTTAATATATCTCTCGAAATCACGTGTTTGAAATCAACCATTTTGCTGTTTTTGACTCCAGTAGTATGTGAAGTTTGCGTCCATTGCATTCAGCCCAGAAAATTCTTTCCAAAGTCTTTCCAAGCTTCCAAAGGTTAGTTTTCAATCAAAACCACTAGGAAACCTCTTATACCGGGGTTGCGTTTCGTTCCCTCCGCTGGTCGGATTCGAAGCAATGAACGGCGTTTCCGAATCGAATGGAGAAAGGTTGCGCCTTCGCCCTTTGCGGAGATGTGTGTGAGTCGTAGGAAAGAGGCATCTCCAGGCATTAAAGGACATTTGAGACCCACCTGCAAGGGACCGGGACTTCCATAGCATACGACAGTTTTTACCAGTGAGGTAGTCTGTACTTCAACAGCCCTCACTGGTCTTGGTTTTAGTTTAATTTAGACAGATATGCCCTGCCATCTTGTCCATGCTTTACGGGACGCAGGAGGCCCGTAATTAATTACGGGCCCGTCCCGTATATTCTCTCTTCGGAGTCGTTTCACTTCTCTGTTTTATCCGGATTTTCCATGTCTTATATTCCCGTTACTTCTCTTCATCTTTTGGGTGGTCTAACCATCATCCCATTCTCTCTCCCTTGCATCTCTGTCTATCTTCATTCTTATGTCACCGTAGAAATAATCCCCAATAACTGAAGCATGACAGAGAATATATTACAGTAGACCAATATGAATATCAAAGGCGAACAGGTTCTCTAAACAGGTTAGGCTGCATCTTGCAGTGATACAAAGTGCAAATGAGATCGGAGCCAGCGCTATACGTGAATAATACAATACATGCAAGGATAATCCACAGTGAGTCGTGACTTTTGCCCATGCTTTGTATTACAGGATGCCTGTGCTG